CAGACCGTTTCTGTGTCATCACTTTTGTGTATTACGGAAGTGAAAGGACATTCCCTGGTGACCTGTGCGATGTGCGGTAAACCAACCCCAGAGTTTGTTTTCGTAAAGAATTGTATATAATATATCGACGATGTGGTGACTTTCTTTGTCTTAGTAATATGACAGCTAATAGCTAGTCGTGCTAGTTTACTTTGAAAGGTTTATAAATCGAAACAATACAACGTCTGTGCCTTTTGGTTATTGAAAGTCTACTAGGCCTGCTGATTTGGTTAGATATGTATCTCATGGTTCCCGCTCTTATCAAAACATACATAAATATTCAATACCACAAAATCCGTTTATAATTGATTACAAAATGCAGAAGAAAATTCAAGAAAACTTTTTCACAATTCATAAAGACGCATGGGTCGCTATGTCTGACTTAGGTCTTGCAAAACAAAGACGTCTTGTTCCGATATTGAGGCCTAAATATAAAACATGCAAAACAAAATATACACTTTCTAGGCTTGATTTTCGTGTAGACAACTATCATATCTACATTTGAACAAAAAATGAAAAAAATAAAAAATGGGTTTTTTGAGAAAATCAATTTCAAAAACGGTACTTTTTGGTTTTTGCATAATATTAACGTAAACGTACCGCAAAGGATATTTTATACAGCCAAGGCATTTTATAATAAATATAAAGAGCGTGTTTTGGGCTCTCCGTGGACATAAAAAATATCGGTGTAACCCAAGTAGATCGCCAGTAATTAATTGTCAAAGTTCGTCAACAATTGACCGAGGAGAGGTTTTTGACATTTTTACAGAAAAAAACCAAAAGGCCTAAAATTATTTCATGGTATTGGAGCCTTTTAAATGTGTCCACAGAGTGCTTCAAAAAAGATAATATAATGTGGACTGAAAATCCATGGCGGGAGATCAAGCGAAACATCCGACCCACGACGGGTGTAAAAAACACTGCTTTTCGCCGCGGCCTCTTTAAAAATTCATAAGTCGAGAAGAAAAAATCCGACGAACTTTCGGTTTGTGTCGACTGCGGTTTTAGAAACGGCACCATAACATATATTTTTTTCATCGAAATTAAAAATTCGACCCTTTTTGCCTGCACGATTTGAGATGAAACCACCCATATACACATATATATATATATATATATATATATATATATATATATATATATATATATATATATATATATATATATATATATATATATATATATATATATTACGAGCTATGCGTGGAAATTTACCGGACGGCAATCGTGAATTTATTTTTAATGAAATTACCTTTGTGATTTACATGCAGATTTGGGCGATCTTCAGTTGAGCTTTGGCGCGTGTTTCAGCCTTTATTGATGCCTTCATGATTAAGAAAATCAAATCGGCTGCGAGGATATCATTTTTGTGCGCGCTTTTTATACATCATGAATCGCTACCCACCAGCTCAACTTTCAACCCCCAAACCGAATACAGAAAGGGCCACAAATGCGATTTTTGTTTTTGTGTGTGCACGTAAATGCGTTGTCAGGGGTGGAACTCATGAAATGTACTTGAGAGCAGCCACAGGAGCAGCTGAAACAGCTGCTTTGGAGCAGGTTGCGAGCAGCTAAAACTACATCCTGGAGCAGGCTAGGAGCTGCTCAGATCAGTTTTCATTGCACTTCAGCTTGTGTCTTAGACGAGCACGGGAGCGATTTCAATTGTGCTTAGCAGCACAGATGAACATGAGTGGTTCCTAGGTCGATGGGATAACAGTGTAACAGATGCGAAAACTTGGCCTTAGCGAGAACCAAAAAGCAAGTACCATATGTTTCTGAAGATAGTGTCCTTGATATTTTCTGAGTGGCTTTCAGCTGCTCAAAATGCAAACCAGACCTGCTTATAGCACAACCCACACGTGCTCGACAAAGCAATTATAAGTGCGAAGCACGTGACTTGCGTAAGCAACGGACGTGCAGTTGCGCGGAGGAACAGGGTAACAAATTTCGAGTTTATCCTATTATACAACTCAATATCGAGGCGGCAGACAACGATTAATGGAGTTATCGTATTCTAAGCGATAAGTAGAAACAAGATTAAAGTACGCCGAGCAGATCTACCGCTCGTGTGAGAGCTGCTGGCCGGCAAGGTTTCGGATCGGACTGCGTTTCAGTTCCATCAAATCACGATTTAGCTTGCAGGAATGTGGTTCCAACTTCCATGAAGTAGTAAAAGGAATCTTTTGCGAACGAGTTTTCAACTGGCTGACGTCCGGAACCCGGGCAACAGAGCCTCAGGCAATCTGATGCTTAAGGACTCGACCTCACCTCGGCCGACTTGCTTAACCGCTTATGGTTGAAGAATAAGAATCCAGTCGCAGGTGATGTAGCACTTGGAATCCGACCCACGAGTTTTTTCGCGCGCTTCCGACTCGGGATACACAGGGGAAAAAAACGAAATAAAAAATTGCAAGGCCAACCAAGCCAAACGCGCTCATGGTTGCCAATCGAGTCGATAAAAACCGAAACCAAGACAAAATAGCATTTTTTTTTTGGCGCAAGTTATGCGCTTTGGAGCACAATTGCGCGAGGTATCGGCTGTGGCGCAGTTTCCGCAAAATGGCACAAACAAATGCCTCTAGCGCAAAATGGCGCAGCCGTTCCACCTCCAATTGTTTCCATTTGGCAACAGATGATGCAGTATGATATTGGGTTAAACATTGGTGCGCCAATGTTCAACCTGGAGCTTCACTAAAATCTCCGAGTTGAGATCCCAGCCAATCCAGCACTGCGAACGCACCGCGTGACCACGCACCCCGCGCGTTGCTACCCAACCGAAGGCCACGTGACACTTGCACGGCGTTGGATTGACTGCATAAATCGTAGCGTCCTCTAAAATTCGCCATAAGGTGAGCTTCCTCGCACCGGTTAGGTGATCCCAACGTTACTAGAACCACTCAGTTGGGAAACTGCCATAGAGACTGCTCTGAAAAAGTGGCCCCAATCTGTCCATCAGAACCGAGCTAATGGCGAACACAACGCCATTTCCCCCGCAGCGGCCACTCGAGGAACTGCATATTATATTTTGGCTTTAATCGGTCATTTTGGTGCCGAAACAGATACAGCGAAAGAGGTTACAGGGGTGCCACCCCCGTCTCCCAAGTTAAAATGCACCTAGGTCGGGACGCGCTTCCTGAAAGGACCGCTGAGGCATGGTTGTATAAAAACAATAATAATTGTTCCGCAAAACCTTGCAAACTAAAGATTATAAAAACATCACGCGCCCTTCATTTTGTACTAAACTCCAACAAATTTCATACAAAAAGAGTCTTTTCCGTTTGTTTTTACGCAAAAACATGCTTTCTAAAAGCTCAATGTGACCACAGTACAGGCAAATGATAAAGAGTGGCGCTGTTGTCGCGTTTAGCTCGGTCTCGGTGGACGCCAGCGGCCCAGGTTTCGACGGCGAGTTTCCGAACTGAGTGTTCTAGTAACGTTGGGTGATCCTCACCGGTACGATGTGTACTTTTTAAGTTTCATTCCTTCTTAGGCAGAAATGAATTAATGAGCATCTGTTAAAATTTCTATGTAGCCCTTTTTAATTATTTTAAAATATATTAACGAGCCTAAAATTAATGTCATCTATAATCGTTTTAACAATTTTTTTTTCATTCAAGTGATTGTGTGGTTTGTTCTTAATAAATTTCGTGCAACGAGCCCATTTTTAGATCCTCGTTTATTGCGACGGTGCCCTTTTGCATGATTCATAATGTTCATATGTGTGTGCTATTTCTTTATATTCTATTTATGTTCCATCAGAGTGGACTTTTTTTTCGTGCATGATGCTGGACCCTATTTTCCACGTTGCCCCTTGGTGCATCGTCAGGCAATTCGTTTGCCTTTAGAGAGTGAGAGTGCACTCCCTTGGAAAAAAATATTATGGATTGGATTTTTAATGCAGCATACCCTATGCAATACTTACTGTATATGCCAATAAAGCCAATTTTCCCCAAGTTTGACAGGTTAAGAGTAAAGTGGAAACTCTTCCACGCTCTTTCCACTTTAGCAGAGCGAATGCTGAAGAGGAGGAGGCGCCCTCCCCTTCGGCGGTCGCTCCGATACAGTGGAAGGAGGTGGGAGGAGCTTCAACTTTACTCTTAACCTGTCACTGACTACACCATTGACATATTAATGCTTGTGTCAACGATGGAATCTATTTGCTGATAAAGAGAACAAATCTTACTAGTGAGTAAAGATATGAAGCATAATCCAGATGACATATGAACCTAAATCCACATTCAATTTACATGAAACTGTTCATTCAAGATAGCTGTCACAGCACTAGCACCTTCAATAATGCATTAGTAGATCAAAGTTTCAGAAACTAAAGCATAACACTCATATACTACCTCAACTTAAGCAGGGCATCAGGCCTCTGACTGAAGAATATTGGTGAAGACATCAGACACTGAAAACTTTGCGCCAGTTTTTTTTTTTTCAGTCCTCAATGAATGCCTTTGCCAGAAACCTGCTGAGCCAAGATAAATATCATTACTATATACACAATATCACATTTAATATCCCTTTGACTAAACATAGGAAAAACTCTGCTGCCAAGTTCACCACAAAGTATCTGCTTGTCAACATTGCTGTAATGGCAGCCAGCTATGCCCTAAAGTAAAGTTGAAGAGTTTATGTGCCAAACCAATGATGGGCATCTGACATGCCCCAGCATATGACCCAGGATTCATTTAGACCGCCTGGGAATCTTATCATGTCCAACCGAAATCTTGGTTACATGGCACCTTCACTGCAATAAGTAGTCAAATTGCAAGCACCTCGACTAAGATTTTAACCTGCCAATTAATCTGCGGGCCAGCGCTTTGCCTTGGAGCCACTGAGGCCGACTGCACTCGTAAGAAAAAAAAATAGTTACAACACATTGTAAAAAATAACCAGCAGATCCTTACTAATGTTCAATAACCACTAGAATCCTGAGTAGTACATCACACAAAGGGTTTTTCTAAGAAATAATTTTATTTGAGCGTCAGGATAGGTTAATAAACTGAATGTTACCAATGCTACAAAGATATTTGAAAGGTCGCCATAACAAAAACTAGTGCAGAAACCAGTATAAATTGCACTGCTAAAGTTGCTCCCTGAATTGGCCAACGTCATGAAGATCTCGTATATGCAAAATGATGACCATTTTAAACCGCATTCTTCTCAGTGACAGAACCATCATTAAGACCATAGTAGACCTTCTGAGCCATTCCAACAAAAAGACCGGTTTCAACAACACCTGAAAAGAAAAGAAACATCTTAACAGCAGCCTTCACTTTGCACTTTCAGACACTTCTCACAGTTTGAACCGTGTGTTAAAGTTATAATTAGGGCTTGGCGTTTTTGAATTTTATGCAGAAAGAAGATATTCGATTTTTTTTCTTTCTGTTAATATTTACTTATTAAAGTTTACTAAAAGACAGCGAGTGTGCAGGTGAGCTAGTGATAGTTAATCATGATTTTTAAAACCCGAGACTCTGGTAAAATAAAAAGCGGTATTGTGAGAATTCTTAAGGAAGAGGACACGACTTCCATTTCGAAGCAGATGATGAGCTGAAATAGTTTGGCGTTAAGTCTTAAATTTTTTAGATACGGAGCATCTCTTGCTCGGGTCTATGTCCCGCGGCGTCGGCGTCGTAGTCCGCACTCAGACTACGCATGCGCAACTCTCCTCCTTCCCTCTCTCCAACAGCTGCGCGTTACTCTCTCCGCTCTCTCTCTCTACCAGCTGCGTGCACTTCGCGTGCGTTCGCTTCTACTCACACCGCGTGCGCATGCGCAACTCTCCTCCTCTAGTCTCCTCTCCTTCAAGTGTGAATATAAGCAGCGGTAGCGCGCTGCGCGCGTTCAGTTCACTGCTGTTGACTCCACTTCACTCCGTTCTTCCGATGAAGTGTGATGGAAGCAACAGTCCCGTCAGTTAGTGGGTTGGCACAAGCAAGCGTCAGCACCACCCCACAAACTAACAGCAATGCTGCTCAATAAAGAACTTCGTTAACCGTTTCACCTTCGTCTACGCAATTAAAAAAATTACACCATCTTCCCGAGGGGAACCATGGGGTGATGGGGAGCATCGCGGAGTTTCCAACAACGTTCACGTGATGTGTGGTAACCAACGCAAGCTAACAACGTAATAACACGCAAGTTAACAATGTTACTAACACCGTTAATAACACCGTTAATAACGATCTGCAATGCTCCGCATCACCCCATGGTTCCACTCGGGAAGATGGTGTAATTTTTTTTTAAAGGATCACAAGCCAGAGAGGCCTCTCTGCACAATATTGTAACAAAACGGAACCTGGCAGTGCATATTGTCTAAGTTCCTACAACGTGGGTCGAATGTAGTGCATCTCGGAAAAAGTCTAATGCTCAGAAATTCAGAAGAGCTGATCGAGGCTCTGGGAGATGTTCATGGAAAACAGTGTTTGGTTATGTCAATGGACATAAAAGATCTTTACTACTCGTTGGAGAAGGTTCACTAAAGGCAAAGAGTTAAGCGCGAGACACATGCGCGAAAAATCCATCCGAACCGACAGTCCGAACACCGCTCCGAATTGCCGCACGCGACAGTTTGAGACACACGCTTCCGACCTTACATGCGACACGACGATCCGTTCGGCTCCGCCCAGGACCCAGGAGATCCAAGCGTTTCAGCGGACTCCGGAGGTCATCTCTGGTCCCAGATTGACGGTTCAACTCGCACGAACGAAATTACAAGCTCGTTCTCAATAGCGCGTGCATTCTTTGCTGGGGCCATCTTTCTCGAATGGGTCAGCGGGATTCACGCGTTCGGCTTCCCCTTGCCTGCCCCGTTATCGCGTTCGCTTCGTCCCGCCAGACTCAGTGCGTCATCATGACGTTCGCGCTAGCTGTGCTGTCATTGGCTGGACGCATCCGACAATCCGTCCGCCGTGCGAAACTATCTGGCGCGTTGCACGCACGTCGGATCGCCAATCCGACGCCTGAAGCGACCAAATTTTTCGGATCAGGCAGTCGCACTGCCGGATCGGACGTCGGATCGGATGGATTTTTCGCGCATGTGTCTCGCGCTTAAAACAGGCATTAAGCGCGAGACACATGCGCGAAAGATTCATCCGATCCGACGTCCGAACCGACAGTCCAAACGCCGCTCCGAATTGCCGCACGCGACAGTTTGAGACACACGCTTCCGACCTTACATGCGACACGACAATCCGTTCGGCTCCGCCCAGGACCCAGGAGATCCAAGCGTTTCAGCGGACTCCGGAGGTCATCTCTAGTCCCAGATTGACGGTTCAACTCGCACGAGCGAAATTACGAGCTCGTTCTCGATAGCGCGTGCATTCTTTGCTGGGGCCATCTTTCTCGAATGGGTCAGCGGGATTCACGCGTCCGGCTTCCCTCGCCCGCCCCGTTATCGCGTTCGCTTCGTCCCGCCAGACTCAGTGCGTCATCATGACGTTCGCGCTAGCTGTGCTGTCATTGGCTGGACGCATCCGACAATCCGTCCGCCGTGCGAAACTATCTGGCACGTTGGACGCACGTCGGATCGCCGATCCGACGCCTGAAGCGACCAAATTTTTCGGATCAGGCAGTCGTACTGCCGGATCGGACGTCGGATCGGATGGATTTTTCGCGCATGTGTCTCGCGCTTTAGAGTTAGATTTGGTTAACTTTCAATCTAAGACGGGCTTAGCAGTGGACTTTCCTTTCTATTTTAGACCCATACCTCCAAGCAACAGTAGTAGAATAAAGCAGCCAGAATTACATACAGAAAGATGGAGTTTTGTATAGGATTATCCACGGCTCCAATATTGGCAGAAATATTTTTTAACGCATTAGACAGTACAATAACTGACAGCCGAGACAAAAGCGCCTCCAATGGTTTCTTGGTAAGACTGTGCGCAGATGATATTTTTATTTGTTCATTCCAGGATAGTGAAACACAGGCACTGGAAAAATTGCTGAGAACAGCAGCTCCAGAACTATGGTTCACCGTAGAACAGCCAGAGGATGGGATCTTAAGAGTTTCTAGATTTACATGTGCATGTCGAACGAGGTCTCTGCTGGGAGTACGGGAAAAAAAATGCTAAACCTCCTTTAAAAAAGAAAAGTCGCGCAAAATCTAAAGCTGGAGTGGTCAAGTTTTATTGATGAAAGCCAAGCAGAATTCATGTACTCATTGGATTAATCACTCTGCAAAAAAAAAAAAAGGGAAGAGGCTGGAGAGTGCTGGGTATGAAGAAGATTTCATAAAAGGACAACTAGAACATTATTTTACGGATGGACATAAAGGAGATAAAGAACAAACGAAAAAGGTACCAGTGATTCCGTTGGGCACAATGGGACCGGTCAGTTTCGTGCTAGGAATGGGTCGTCTATGAGATACCACTGGCTTGTGGTTTTAAGTATGTGGGAAGGATGTCAAGATGTGTGAACGACAGATTACTCGAACATAAAAGAAACATAGAAATAAACGTGTCAAACTCGGAAATAGTGAAACATAATGGAAAATATAACAATTGTATGGCAGGTTGGTCAGAAACGCAAGTTTTACACAAAGAGCCTAATCATAGCAAGAGGATCGTAAGAGAAACAATAAAAATCAAAACCATAGAAAATTGCATCTCCCAGGCCTCGATGCAGCTTGACAGTAAGTAAAAAAAAAAGTTCCTTGGAATACAACCTTGTACTTCAAAAAAACCTTCTTTCAGTAAGCTTCTGTGCATGTGCACACCCTCTCCCCCGGCCTTGCTTCCCATTGTCCCCATTTTCGCAGGGCACCATCCTGCACGACCAACATTGTCAGCGCCTATCTGTCCCCGTATTTCATCTTTTTTTACAATTCTTTTTTGGGTATCGATAGTATGGGGCATATAAAGCAATGAAAACCAAAACAATGGCACAATATCTATGTGTTTTAACGAGCGGAGTCCTGTAGGGCTGTCTTTCATTTGTGGTGCACGGACAAACCGCCACACAGCACTCATTACTCAAAAGAAACTCCATTCTACTTTTTTTTATGTGCATTGCGAACAAAGTGTGATTAGAGGAGAATATTTTTGTAAAAATTAATGTATCAATTTTTTTTTCTTTGCAATGTGAAAGAAGGGTTTGTATGCTTATTGTTTCAAAGGATGTGCCTGGGAGAGAAGTTGGTGATGATTGTTTGATTGTATCAAGAATAACTGAACATTTCTAAGAAGTCACTCGGTGGCTGATTCATATGTACAGTTGAATCTCTTTAATTCAAACTTAAGGAGGACCGAGAATTTCTTCCAATAGAGCAAAGTTTGAATTACCGGGAGTTTCCTCCCATAAAGACGCATAGGATGGGACCTGCATGTTAGTTTGAATCATCTGCAAGTTTAAATTAGGAGAGTTTGAATTAATGAGATTCGACTGTATCTAGGAGCCCATTCAGTGCATTGTGAATGAAGTGTATGTCTGGGAGAGGAGGTGTTGGTTTCTATTGATGGTATATAAGGAGTGAGAGGAAATAAACGATTTAGCTGCGTTTGAGACGTTTTCTTCTGTGCCTTTCTCTTTGACTTTAAAGTTTCCTTTATTTTTCCCCTCACCACAGTCTCGGCTTTTAAAAATCACGATTAAAGTCTACTGGGTTTCTTTCGGTGATATGTGCGGTACCTCCAGTCAACCCATGACCGTCTGCGGTCTTTCTAGTGTTTGGCTTTTTTTCAAGCACTAGACAAATATTAACAAATGGTTGTGTTTAACATAGTGATGTCATGAAGAGTTTGCTACCACCATGTAAAAGAGTGACAATCCAGAAACTATGTGATGGCGCCTAAAATGTAACGATAAGATTAAAGCACATTACTTGTCCTAGTAACGCGTGCAATATTAAAATTACGACGAAACACGCGGGGACAAGAACAGGAGACAAAGCAGATATCGACAGGCACTATACCTAGCCTTAACATATAACCTTCAGCATATCAAGAAACCACAAACTTCACTGGTCACCTAGATCGCAATTACTTTGTACGCTCGTAATAAAAACATGCATTGTTTACCCAAGCTTTCTTTACATTTAAGGACCGTTTACGCACTTCCGGTTTACGCACTTCCGACTTCTTAGAGCGTGTGCCTTGAAGCCTTATAAATCTCTTACGATAAGATAGCACACTAGTGCCACCTATCGGGAAGCCGTGTTGGCAGTCCTGTATATTTCCTATTTTTTTGGCGCATCATTCTTTCTTTCTTGGCTCGAAAGACTTTCCTCAATGTTATAAA